GTTGTCGTAAATTTTGATATATTGTTGCTCTGAAATTATCTTTTTGGTATTTGTTGTTGTGGATTTTAGTACGTCATTACTCTGGAATCATCTTTTTGGTATCTTGTTATGGATTTGGTATATTATTGCTCTTGGAGTCGCTCTTTGGTGCCTTGTTGTAGATTTCATGAATTGTTGCTCTGAAGTCACCTTTTTAGAATTACTGTTTTGGTATTTTGTTATCATGGGTTTGGTATGTATTCTTAGTAATTCTTTCAAAAATACTGTTGTTATCTTTGGTGTTATTTGCCTTTTTTTTTTGGTTACTAACTTTTGTTTTAACTTTTTGTTAATTTTGTCATTTCGTCGTCACTTTGAAGTTATTGCTGGTATCATTGTTTTGGTATTTCTATTTTTTGAGGTTATAGTATTTGGGTCTTTGTCTTTAATAGAGTATTATTTCGTTTATATCATTTATTCACAATTCTTGAATATGTATCAGGTTTGCATCAAGTTAAAATTCTTTAAAGTTCTATTATACTAATATTAGAGCTTTTAGTATAGTTAGTAGTTAAGAACATATGGGGAAATCAGTAGAAATGAGACAAATCATTTTTAGTGAATTTTTTTTAATTTTTAAATTACAATTTTTTGACAACTACTTAACCAATTTTGATAAATTTTTTTTTATTTTAATTCTAGAGTTATCTAAAATTAAAATAAAAAAAATTTATTAGATTTAATAAGATAGTTGACAAGATATTTAAACTTAAAGTTAAGAAAACTTTTATTTAGAAAAAATTTGTCCTATTTTTACTGACTCCCTCTATATATAGTAAAATTCTTTACAGAAAATTTTTTGTTAATGTACAAAGAATAGTTTATAAACAATTTTTAAGAAATAAGCAATTGTTAACAAAATGGTCATTCAATTTGAATTTTCTTGTTCGTATTATGTTTTATTTGATTTAAAATCTAACTCATAGTTTAGATAATATATGCTACAAACCTGACACATATTCAAGAATTGTCATTTATTCTAGGGTGTCTTGCTTAGTTGTTAGATAAGTTTGTAGATATTTGTTTTGTTGAGCTGTTTTTGAATAAGGTTAGGATAAACAGTTTGTAATTTAGTATAGTGTTTAGTAGTTTTTGACGATTTTGTGATAGAGTGAACAGTCTAGAATATGTATTTTGATTCGTAGATTTTTTTAGTAAATTGAAGTATTTGAATTACGTGAACACGTGATTCGATTTGATTGGTCGATCACCCTGACGATATATTGCTATAGTGATAAATTACAAACCTCTTTTTTAAAAAACTTTTTCGAATAATCTTTGATCTAATCTTTCACTTAATAAAATAT